ATAATCAATAGACTTTGATAAAGTTCACTCTGTAATTTTAGAAAATAGGGGCAAGATGATTTGTATTTAGCACAATAACATTTATAGGTAGGCTCCACTGTGCATACAGTATACAAACCTACCATGGAAGAGATGGGGGAGCCTGTGCTGCATTCTAAAACTTCTCTATAATATTGAAAGATATCTGACAAGCAGATTTATTATAAAATGTGCTTAAAATAATCAATGTTTTAAAAACAATTGGAGGCAATCACCAACAGCTGTTTCTTTAGTTTGATTTTAAAGACTTCATATATTCATAGATATGAATAGCAACAGGAAGGGAGTTGTACCAACAGAAACATAATAGGTCAAGGCTTTTCCTCCCAGAGATTCAGGCTGTGTGTCTACTCAAACAAGTAAAGAAGGTAGAATTTAGCTTCATAAAACTGAGATACTTGGATATTGTTTTGCTTCAGTGAGAGGACCCAAGAAATTCATTAAGACCAACCTAGTAGGGAATTACTTCTCCAAAATAGACCTTCAAGGCAAAATTTTAATCCCTCCTGAAAGCTGGCAGAGGTTTTGTTATGAACATTCTTTAAGATCCTAAAAATGTACACATTTTCATAATTTCTAATATTGTATAATTTGATGGAGGGACATGGGGCTTTTTTTATATCCCCTCCCCCCCCCAATTTATGGCATATCTTTAAGCATACTGGCTAATATAATCTTGACTGTCTAAAGTATAAAAGAAAGCATCTTAAATTTTATTCACCTGATAAGGGTCAGGCAATCCCACATGCTAACTAGGTCATTAGATTGAAGATTTAGCAACCAACAGAAACTGAGAAGCTAGAAAGCCGTAGATGTATGAGCCACAGAAGGAAATCAATATTATTATTTATAATATGAAAGAAATCAGGTTAAAGTAAAACACGTTTAATGCAATAGGTGCTGCTTCTGGCTACTATTCTTTCCCTGGACTTCAAGCCTTTTATTTACTGAGGGCTAAGTTTTCCATTGCTGAGAAGTGTAACTGTCTTAAGCTTTTTAGCCAAAAATATAGCACCACGATGAACCTCAAAAGAGTTCTTCCTAGACAAAAGCTGTTTGCTGCTTATTGTGCAACATTAATGCACTATTGACTGAAACAACTGGAAGTACTTTGCAAACTAATGGTGGAAATGGCCTTCACAACCAACCTTTAAACCTTGTTTATTTTGAGAAATAACGTGCAGCTAAAGACAAAGTCTCTCTAAAACAAAAAGTAGTTTTGGGAGCAACTGCCCGAAGGCTTTTGTTGTCTATTTGCATGCATTTCATCTGGAATAAACAAAAAGTTTTAGATCTTCACATTTCAAATTTCTTGTTGGCTTATTTTTCACCTTTAAAATGCAAAATCTTGGTTCTAACTGCAGAGATCATTTCTCAATCAGCTGAGGCATCCTAGACACCAAACCTTTGGGTCAACTGACAGGACGCTGCAGTAGACATTTTCAATGAAGAACATTCAATAAATTTTATCTCCTCTTCATTCCTCTGCTGTCAGAGATTCAAGGCTACATGCGGATGCATAGTGGCGGTACATTTGCTCACTGTAAGAATAGAAAATTCACTTTGATGTCAAGTTCAAAATGCCCTTTTCCTGTTTCAAACACAGCTACAGAAGGCAGCTCATCATGAAGCAAAATAATCAGACTAGTTAAGATGCACAAAATGGTGATTCATGAACTCAGT